AAATACAGTAAAACTATAGTCGCAGGCCCAAGTTTAACTCTCTGAGGTCTAAGCTTTTTTTGTAAAAATGCTATTAAAACATGAACCTTGGTGACCATCGGGCTGGCCTGCATGGTCTGCCTACAACACAAAAATAAAAAAACGTTTTTGCAGCCCCAACAACAGCCTCTGATCATCAGCAGACTTCATGCAATGCTTCATTGGATGCATATTTAATAATCTCTATCTCACTCCTAACACATCTAAATCTACTTCCAGCATGGATAAATGTTCATAAAAGACATCCATTGTTTGTTTTATATACGCTTCATAAAATAAAATAAAAAAAACATCGTTTTTCTAGAACAGATCGCCTGAAAATGGTACAAACAAGCGACATGTGTGACGAAGGTGTTGCGCTGGGCTATATCATGCAATCGAAAGTCAAACTGAAGCTCACTCCATTGCGGAGAGATTCCCGCGAGAGTGCGGAAAACTTAAATAAATAAATGTATTTCAAATGTGAAATGATACCAATATACTCACGGACCACTAGGGGGCGCTCACGGACCACCAGTGGTCCGCGGACCACACTTTGAGAAGCACTGCAATACACTATACACTTCCTTTTTACTCGAAAGTCTGAACTAAGATAGAAGAGAGTTTCACATTTTGTTGCAATGTCAAATTTGTTACAATGTCACCATTCATTTAGGCTGCCTTTACACAGGAACGTTTGTGTTTACGCACCGTATGCGTTTTCAAAAAAGTCTTCCGTTCACACGCATTCGATTCATTTAACGTGTCTGTTCACATGAGACCGCTCGACCCGCTGGAGTACATATGCCAGGCCTGTAAGTGGCGCTGCTGCCGCCACAAAATACACCAAAAGCAGCGAAGAAGACCCCGGAGCATGGTTGCCATGGTTGCCTTCTGTTTATGCCCCGCGGTGGATTTAGCAACATCATGTAATTCTCCATGTCCACTTGTTGCTGATGGTTGTGGTAGAGGAGCTGTAGATTTTGTACTAACATCTGTAGCATGGTCAGTAGCAGTAGCACTAGCAGTAGCTACTGACAGTAGCTACTGACCATGCTACAGCAGTGAGCAGCAGAGGTGGGGAGAGGCGGGGCTATGGCTTCATCTATCGGGAAATGAGCGTATAGAGGCGATTACACGGAGCCGTTTGACCCCCCAGAGCGTTCCGTTTGCAGATCTATCCACCTTGGGACCCGTTATCGTTTGCGGGGTCCGTTTCTATCGTTTTGTTTTACGGCCTCGTGTAAATGATAGGGCTATACGCAAGAGAAACTATGCGAATACAACCCGTTTTGTTCCCGTGTAAATGGGGTCTTAGTTAGTTTTGGTTTTGCAGAGCAATGATGCAAACACACTACATGACATTCCTACATCCTCTAGTCTAGTCATCACCTCAATGAAGTTGTGTCTCCAAATTCTTGACATATATGTTTTCACACTCATCAAATCATATCTCTTATTTTGTAAGTACAGTATGACAGGGCTCTTACAATACTCAAATTGAAATTTAGGATGAAAAGATTATGTAATCAGTGTGTTTGCCTCTGCAGAGTTCACTGCTTTCAGTTGCTTCCTGCTCTTTTTATTTGGCAGTTCTTAAAATCGCTTCCCACTCGCTTCATCTCAGCCTTTTTTGACTGAAGGAGCTGGCATGCTTCCCAGACAAATCCCAACTAACATATACATCAGCATCTTTCACTGAACAGATGATGTTTATGAGCAATTATTTTAACATGTTTGCCTTATTAGTAAAACTCATTTTGCCTATATCTAAGCTGCAATACAGAGCACATTTACCAATTTTCACACTTCAAGGTTTTTTATTTTATATAAATTACTCTAATGCAAATTGTAATATTTAACCATCAAACCATCAAAATACAATACCTACTGTATAGTTTCAAATAAAGCACATCTTCATCTTAAGACAGGCAAGCGAGAATCAAACCCACCACCACCCATGAGAGGATCTCTTTAAAAACATCAGCTGTTTCTGTGGCAACCCACACTCAGCTGGGCCACATTAGTTTGCTTTAATATCCCACACATATAGCCAAGCATTCAGCCTATTATTTTGTTCAAACCAGCACCACAATATGCTATGCACACACTAAATGGCATGGTCCCCACTGAGCATAATGACACCTACTCAGTCGGTAGAGCTATTTCTCCATAAGAACACAGGCTAATCTGTTTCACTTGAACAACAGCTAGAAAGCATTCTGGTGTGCAGGACCCAAGCAATTTCCATCGAGCAATCTGTGACTCATCCCTGTTGAGATGGTGGAGAACCAATTCAGTCTTGATGGCATGTTAGCGCTTGTTTTATTGAAGATACTTATTATACTTCATTTGGAAACATTAACACGAGAAACACTTCTCTTGAGTAGCGTGTCAACTGATTGTCTCCTTAGCGACCAAGCTAATTCGATTTTTAAATGACAAGCAAGGTCTGAGTCTACGGTAACTGACAAATACTAGCATGTGCCTAGCTGGCTAGCATGTTAGCAGTTACATATTTATCACATGGATCCATTGTGTTGTGGCACTTGCAATAGTTGTAGATGGTCCTTTTAAAAGAAAAAAAACAGGCGGATAGTTTGCAGATTGCAGGACCATGTGCAGGATTTAGATAGATAGTGAGTCCTCTTCCATAGAGTCCACCATGTTGCACATCCATGTTCTACAATAGCAATGAACAAAAAAGCCAAACTGACTTTCAAGAAGACCCTTCTTGATTTTACTCTTCGCTGAAGGCCACAATAAGGTTCTTTAAACGCTTGTAACAGGAGTGGTGAGCCAAGCAGTATCCAGTTGGTTGCAATCTGCCATCTCACCACTGGATGCCAGTAAATCCCATAAAATGTTCTTAAATGTTAGGAGTCAACCTCTAGTTTTAGTACTGTTACAACAAAAGCAAAGGAAAAAGGTAGGTGATGTTGTATAAACAGCAAAAGTATAAGGAAGAGAGCAGGTTGGATAAATGGAAGAAACAGACAGAGGACTTTCCCCCTGCTGACCAGTATGTCCCCTGGAAAGCCAAAAGTCCACTTATTTTGACCTATGTGCTTAAATGATCTTATATTTAACTTACGTCACATACGAAATGTATTTCACTTATTTCGTTACCTAAGTGAAAAGACATACATACTTGGTTCATTTCAAACAATTACCTTTTCAGATAGTGTTGTTTAAATTCACAAAGTTAAATCAATCAATCAAATCAACGATAAACTCATGTTTAAAAACTGTGATAGTTTCATGACATGCTGGTATTCTCCAACGCTCATAAATGTTGTTTTGGGAGTCATTGCAAACAACCCATTGGTGGGTAGAAGGGAGGAGAATATGTTGCATAGTTGGTTTAACACTTTCTTAGAAAACTCTATTTCCCATTGTCGATCCATGTCAGAATAATGCTAAAACAAAGGCAGAGCTGACTTTTGTTCAATCTGTGTTTTTTTTACAGTCTTTCACCAGTATTATAAAAGTGCCATTTACAGCGAACTGCAGCAGGCCCGTTGCTTGACATTCAGGATACACAAACAGTTCAAAGGGCAGCAATGGCCTGAGGGTTAGACAACAGTTACAGAGAAATGACTCTTTTAGAAATATCAAATCCAGATGGGAAAATGCTAAAATAGGGAAACAGGAAACGCCACATCCAACCAATATTCTTTGTTCCTTCAAATACATTCTTGCTCACTGGCCTTTAATAGACAAGCTAATTGGCAGCTGATTGGTGTGAAAATGTGAAATTGGTGTTTTGGAGATTTTTCAGCTAATAAATATCACAGGCACAGAGCTATCGGTCAACTAGGCTTATGAAGTTATTTTTCTCACTCCACTTCTCAATCTCAAGCTTCCAGACACACTGCCAGCATTAATGTCCCGACTGAAAGGCCACCTACTCTTAATATAAAGGACTCTTTTACTGGCTCACTGAGACTCCATTGTACAGGCTGACATAGTAATGTGGACATCTGCTACACAATTATGTCCAATTCTCTGTCTTCACTTTTTTTTTACAGTAGTTTTTCTCATGCAAAGTAAAACTCTCCTCCAATGCACAGCAATATGCATTTGCATTTACATTTTTATATGACACCTCTAACTTCCCAAAAATGATCTATTTACCCTCCATCACTTTACTTCCCTTCCCTATCTATAATGCAAACCAACACTGCTAGATAAAATGGACAAATTATATAATTTTGATTGCATTCAGTGGATTTGCATATCGTAAATGGCCTTGCAGTAAGAATCCAGTCTCACAAATGCATGGCTGTTAGCTGACAGCATAACCATATTCCTCAATTCTTCTTGAATGTATGTTCCAAGAACATTACAATTTATTTAAATGAACATTGAAAATAACCAGATGTTTCCCCTTCTTTCCATTTTAGTTTTTTGCTAATATATAAGCATAGTACCCAAAATGTCCAGCTGGAGGGATGCTGGACAAGTGCTAGGGATTATTTCTAGCTCAGAACTGACAATCTCCGTGTTAAACAAAAAGGAGGAGCTTTTGGATTGCCTTAGCATCTAACATTTAAAGGTTAAAGATAATTTGACGTTACAAATGTTGGTGGTTACAGATGTGATGAAGTTATAACTGAAAAAAGGTTCATTTTGTAACACTTCATAATGCTAGACACCAAAGTACTGTACGGTTTAATTTGATCTGCTAAGGAGGTTGTGTTTCCGCCACGGTCTGTCAGCAGGACAGGAAAAATGAATGCCCTGATGAAACTTGATGCAAGAACATAGCAAAGGCCAAGGCACAACACATTAGATATTGGAGCAGTTCCGAATCACATAGGAAAAACACTCATCATCTTTCAAATAGCCTTGGCAGAGGTCTTCACTCTCCACTTGCCCTTTGAAGATGTTTTTGTGTATGTTTGCTTGACTTGTGTTTCAATCATTCATATCTTCTGAATTTAAGGTTAACGTAAGAAACACCTTAAAGTTATTCTTACCTGTTGTAGGTTGATCAACACATCTATCTCTTGCACATGACCTCCTGTAGCCATGGGGCCAGGCGTGCAGCCAGTTGGAGAAGAATAGCTCTATTTTGAGGGCAGGGGGCTAAAATAAAAGATTGTTGCGATGGTATCGAGTGCTAATGGTAAGGATTACTTGGGGAAAGATACGACTACACAAACGATTCAAGAGGTAAAGGGCGACAGGACCAGTGTAGGAGTCTGGTGGGGTTAATGCGGTTGGGAGAAGGGAATATGCAGGTGAAAGGTGAAGGGGAAGATGGGGTGCAAAACAGCAGGAAACTGGGGGAGGACAGGGATCAGCCCTTCTTTTTCACGGTTGGGGATCCAGGAAGCCTTTGGGGTGGCATAACCTGCAGGAGAAGGGACAGAAGAGACAGAGTTATAATGGGTGAAATGAGGACGATATGGGCAACTGTTGGATGGTAACCAAGCACACCAATCAGTTAACCTAGGTCTGGGAGCAGGGCACCGCCTTATCCACACCACTATTCACCTGCTAATCTTCTTTTACCTGGTCACCAAATATGGCCCTTGTTTGTCTATTATCCCTACATCCCTACCTACATCCTTCCACCCTGCATCCTCTAACCCAGCGGTTTTCAAAGTGTGAGGCGCGCCTCCCCGGGGGGGCACCAGAGAGCTTCAGGGGAGGCGCAGCGTGAGAACAAAATTACGAGAATTTCAGATAGTTAACTTCAGCTAACTTTATGCGAGCGGCAACATGGATCGATTTTTAGTGAAGTTACCTAAAGTGAAAGAGGAGACAGCGTCTGGCAGAAAACGTCACTTGCCACCTCGCCAAAAAGGCTGTAAAAGTGCTCATTCCCTTCACCTCCACCTACCTGTGTGAGGGCGGGTTTTCCGCATTGACTTTGATCAAAAGCAAGTACCGGTCAAGCAGGGGCGGATCTACCGGGGTGGCATGGGGTGGCAACTGCCACCCTAAAAATAGCCTTGCCACCCCAGCTGCCACCCCAGTTGGCAGCTTTGTTTTGAAATAAAAGTTGTGGCTCATCGGACATTTATGAGAGAAAATCCCTAATGTCCGAGTGCAAGTGAATGCAGCACAAGACGCGAGCCTTGTAACCCCTCCCCCGGCCCTGGCGCAAGCGTGGAAATGTGATTGGCGGCGATTTCATTTGAACGGGACGGCGCAAAACGAGAAGCATTCGGACCCAAGTAGACGGAAGGAATGAGGTATTTGCGGTCTACAATGACAGAGAACTAGAGACTGTCAAGTTTGGCTGTACTCAGCATTGAATCAAAACGCACTAAAGCTTTAGTTTTGATCTTAATAAGTTTGTGAGGCATTTTGCTGAACAAGATGGTAATCGCCACATTCAGCTGTTATAGGCATGCCAACTTGATGCTCTGCTCACGGATGACTCGATGAGCATAAAAAACTGTTAAGATGATGACCTTACGTGTGTAAATATATTTTTTTCTTTGTGGGGGTCTGCCCCCAAAAAACAGTTTTAAGTCCTGAGAAAGTCAAATAAGACGGTGTGTAAAACTACACAGCCCAGCAAAAAGTAACCACTTTGATTTAACTAGGCCAGTAGGTAAGGGCATTCCACTGGATAATAATACCCCTGCATTATAGCAACAACAACAATAATAATAATAATAATAATAATAATAATAATAATAATAATAATAATAATAGCAATAATAATTGGGAGGAGGGGCGCGGCTGTTCTTATGTTCTCTGAGGGGAGGCTCACCTTCCCACACTTTGAAAACCCCTGCTCTAACCCCTTCCTCCTTATATCCCATTGACCCTGCATCCATTTAGCCTTTCATCCCTTCAACTATTTATCCCTACATCCTTTCATCCCTCCCTATTTAGACCTTCCCCCTGCATGCTGTCATCCCTTCCTCTTTATATCCCATTGACCCTTCATACATTTATCCCCTCATCCCTTCCCTCACTACAGCCCATCTACCTCTTTTATCTTCCTCCCTAGATCTATACAATTCCTCATCCTTTCCTCCCTAAATCCCTTCATCCAGCCATCCCTTTCATTACCATATGTCTACTTCCGTACATCTTCTCTTTTCATGTCTCCACTTATCTATTTCTATTCAATCTGATGCATACTTTAGTCTAATCCTAGGTGTTGTCTGGTCAACCTGATCTCACCAGAATGCGTGACTCCACCACGACTCCTTAACACCGCATTGCGTGGTGGAGTCACAAACTTTGTTACATTTACGTGTCTGCACCACGCAAACAACGCCAATGTAAAGTGAATGAGGCTCCTTTGTCGTGGTGCACACACGCATTTCTACAACGTCCAGCAGTGAGCTTTTATTCTATAAAACGTTTTTAAAATCTACTGTATAGCTTGTAGTAACTCACAGGAGGCTTCTTTTATTTTATTTGTATTCATAATAATTTTTATTTTTCGTCAGAATGTATTATGGTGCATTATTCACCAATGTTTGTTCTCAAAAAACAATGCATTGTGTGTAATACAACTGTGATTTTTATTAAATTAGTTCGTTTTTAAGGAAGGCCAGAGCTTCAGCTGTGTCAAAGAGATTGTTCCCTTTAGTTAACGTTATTTAAAAGATAATTATATTCCTATGTGATTAAGTACCCTTTATTGTATTACGGACCCAAAGAGCTGAGCGTCCATTCCCATTGGATAACAGAGCATTTTACACCCGGAAGTAAGTATTCTCCTTACTGTCCATTGATTGTATTTACAGTGATATCTGCACTACTCATCAACTCAAAAACACCAGATTATCCTTGTTAATTACACAACATTGATTGGTTTAAATTGTGTACAATGCTTTTGTATTTTCCCCTTTCGATTCGGAGAAACAAATATGTTTTCGGAGTGTGTGGATGGTAGAAGACACTACACTACCCAGAATCCTCAGCTATTGTTCCGCTTTGCCTCAAGCTCTGTGATTGGTTGACCTCCAACTGCATTCCAATGAAAAAAACGTTTCGTCAAAGATCAAATCATACTTTATTCAGCAGTGCTTGCTTTACTCTTTGAAAGTCATCACATGAATGCATTGTAATGAATGGTTTGGCTGCATTAAACATTACACATCTGTCGTAGTTCTTTATTTATCTACAGAGATCGGGCCTCAGAATGGACCGGAAACTATTCTTTTACCGTTCTATTTTAATTTCACAATAAAGTTAGTAGTAATAATTTGTTTTGATATTATTGTTTTTTATTAACTACTAGACCGCTGGGTCATGTTAAGACCATCTTTTCTGTGTTGCTGTGGGTTTTTTACATCGCTTTTGTGTTACAAATATCAAAACAATAACAGAATATATCCGTCGTAAACTAAACCAGAAACAGCAGTATATTTTATTTTGTTAACACTGTAAACTTGACAGCTTTTTAACCCGCACCTCCTACTGGTTAAAGCACGTTATTACACGTTTAGAGTAATGCAATGCAGGTAGATTGGGTTGCTTTTTAATGACTGTTTTAAAATGCCTTTTTCTTAATGTCTTTCATTTTTGTAAAGCACTTTTGAATGTGTTATATTTGATGAAAACATTTAAATATTAAGAGTACATACTCTTAATATAGTGGGAAAGTGGAAGGTCAATGATATAAATAATATAGAATAGAAAATATCAAGAAGATACTGTAAGTGATCTCTACAATAAAACAGTTTAGTGCCTGATAGGAGGATGTGCAAAACAGACAAACTAATAAGGCTTTATTTAAACATTAAAGAATACTTTAGGTTAAGGTCTTCTTTTAAATAAGAAAAAAGCTTTGGGGGTATCTACAGATATTAGCCTGACAAAGTACTTAACGTCTAATATATTGCATGGTTTGTTTTGGAACTTGACAATCAACTTTCCTTCAATGTTAACTATGTTGAAGCACTTATTTTAACTGATATTATACATATTAATTATACTCTTATAAGATGTATGTAGATAGTACAAGAAATGTGCAGAATATGTTTAATGGTGGAGGTACACAGATATCGATAGATGTCTTGTGATGCACTGTTGATGAACCTGTGACCCAAGTGTTTCATTCATTGCATAACTACACCGTAGTTGTGTATATGATATGTCAATAAACCTTAGAAAATCTTGAAATCTTGAAAGGGATGTGCAAAATAGCCATTATATACAGTTTTTAATTAACTATTAGTAGAGAATAACGAGTAATGAATATGCTTTAGGGATCTGCAGATAAATATTTAGTCTTCTCAAGCACCCACTACCAAATATCTCGCCTGATTGTTGGCTGAATTCACTGAATTTACTCAGGTGTAACTAAAGTCTGATTTAAGGGTTGTTTATATTTCACATCATTAATCCAAATCTGTAAAGTAACTAAAATAAATGTAGTGGAGTAAAAATACCAGGTTAACCTTAAAGAAAGCCCTCAGGATTATAAAAGACCCCCATCACCCCACAAACTGTTCTGTCTGCTGCCATCTGGCAGGCGGTACCGCAGCATCCGGACTAAAACCACCAGACTCAGGGACAGTTTCATCCCACAGGCCATAAGACTATTAAACACCTGAACTTAGAAACAACATCCATAACATTCATCTGGCTGCTACTTAGAAATGATTTATCTAATATATCATAATCCAATCACTTGTATATAGACTCGTATTGCACTATTTCACTTTTTACTATTTTACTATTTTTCTTTTTGTATTTACTTGCACTATTTGTTCTGTGTAGCCTATCTGTTTTATTGTGTTGCACAGTTGGAGGAGCCTGTGACCTAAGGGGGGGGGGGGGTAGGACACGTTCTAAGCACATGGTGTAGTCCCATAGCTGAGGATTCTGGGTAGTGTAGTGCCTTCTGCCATCCACACACTACAAACAAATATTTGTTTCTCCGAATCGAAAGGGGAAAATACAAAAGCATTGTACACAATTTAAACCAATCAATGTTGTGTAATTAACAAGGATAATCTGGTGTTTTTGAGTTGATGAGTAGTGCAGATATCACTGTAAATAAAATCAATGGACAGTAAGGAGAATACTTACTTCCGGGTGTAAAATGCTCTGTTATCCAATGGGAATGGACGCTCAGCTCTTTGGGTCCGTAATACAATAAAGGGTACTTAATCAAATAGGAATATAATTATCTTTTAAATAACGTTAACTAAAGGGAACAATCTCTTTGACACAGCTGAAGCTCTGGCCTTCCTTAAAAACGAACTAATTTAATAAAAATCACAGTTGTATTACACACAATGCATTGTTTTTTGAGAACAAACATTGGTGAATAATGCACCATAATACATTCTGACGAAAAATAAAAATTATTATGAATACAAATAAAATAAAAGAAGCCTCCTGTGAGTTACTACAAGCTATAAAGTAGAT